TCGTTCGCCTCCCCAGGGCAGTTCAGCTTTGGAATCTTGGTGAGGATTTTCATTTTATTATGCCAGAATTTGTTCCTTTTTTGACTGCCTAATTAGTTAATTTTTATTGGTCTTTGTTATTGTTATTTTCCGCATTTTTTCACCTTCTCTTCTTTTTCTTCTGTCTTTTTTAAGGCCTACTGTCTCGATGAATTATAAACCAGAAAGTGGTGTTCATAATGGACATATACATGATATTAGTAACATTATTTTCGTGTTCACAGGTAAATTTGTTGGATTGGAAGAAAGTAAATTTAGGTTAAATCTAATGAGAATATGTCGGAGAATACGATAGAAGAGAGAGAGAGAGAGAGAGAGAGAGAGAGAGAGAGAGAGACGGTAAATTAAAAAAAGGTTTAGTCCCGCAGACAGACGTGCTGATCAAGGATGTATAATCACTGTTGATTTCAAGCTGAAAGATTTTTGGAATTTCAATCAGCACCTTAAGTGTAAGAATAGACTTTATAAACATTTAGTAATGTTAGAGAATTTCATTTATAATCATTCATAGTACCCCCATTCTCAACCTTGGGATCGCCAAGCCTTCAAAATTCAAAGATCGCAAGGATTATATTTGTTTATTCATGATTTTATTCGAGCTTATCAAATCCACTCAAATGCGTCTCTTCCGAAATAGGTATGACCGGTGTCGGCATTATTTTCATCAGCAGTACATGGATTTCTGATCTAAGAAGACACTGGCGAAAATGGTTTAGTTTATCCCTCTAGAGCTGTGAAGAGATTCGTTCTCATTCGTATTTTCTTATTCACGACGAAATAAACACTGTGCGACTATTCTAACATTATACAAACAGTTTGACAGTGACAGTTAATGATAATGGTATCATTGCCATAATGACAACAATTATGGTCATAAACAAAAAGAGTAGGCAGTAATTCAGTCCCAGCCTCTCAGTCGTTTTCTCTATTCAAGCGATGCCCGATAGAAAATGGAAAACTTTTGGGTAGGCTTATTTTGATTTTATATATGTCGTTCCTTTCTCTTTCGTTTATATCTCTCTATCTATTTATCTCTCTTATATATATATTAATTAAATTACGAAGAAATTGCAAATTATTTGCTCTTAGTTACTGTTTGCTTCGCCGTCTCGTAGATGCTGAGATGAATGCTCCTGATCTTTTGGGAGTAATTGCTATGTTTACACTTCCTCGACTTGCAAGATAATTAGGCAGAGGTCGGCAACCTATGACACGAGTGCCAGACTTGGCACGCAGAGCGCTTGTCTATGGCACGCCATGTGATTCGGAGGAGCAAAGAAAAACTTAAACAGCAAGATAATATGAGTAGAACATATATATATATTTTTTCTTTTTTGTTACAAAGACTAATAAGTGCTACAAAAATATGACATTTGTGTTATGCATGTGTAGGAAAATACATCTGGGTATACAGTGCTGAAAAACTGGCACGCAAGGTTACGAATAAGGAGGCATTATCAACTGGCACACATGTTCAAAAGGTTGCTGACCCCTGTATTAGAGGTTCAGAGATATGAAATCAGTTAAGCGTTTACGATTTACATACATTATGCCTAAATAATTTCACGAGGAGACATTCGCAATCCATAAAATAACAGTTTGGATTAAATATAATAACATTTCGATTACAAGCAAGAACGGCGTCGCCAAACTCATTTAGGTTAGGTCTTTTTTTTCTGAATAGGGACTCGAAAATCGTGTTTGTTGGTATTACGAGCCGTTGAATCTGATATGTACGGTTCGTGTAAAGCTTTCATCATGCACTGAAAAGGATGCTCGTATTTTTTGCGTCCATCTTTTCTCTCTAATTCCAGATTATTCCTACTTTCTTTCTTTCTCCCATAGGATCACATAATGAGGTTTACGGCCAGGTGAAAAAGGTATTTTTGCTTTATTTCTTTATTTAATCTTAAAATACCGAACATGGTGAACTGACAGGACCGTAAATCATCAAAATCCAAGTGTTAATAGAGGTTATACATATAGGATGAATAAGCACGCACGCACTATTTGCAAATTCAGTGTGTGTGTGCGTCAACATAAGTGTATATGTATAATTATATATATGCATTATATATATGCATATATATATATATATATATATATAATATATATATATATATATATATATATATATATATATATAAATATATGTATATGTATATGTATATATACATATATATATATATATATATATATATATATATATATATATATATATATATATATATACGTATATATATATATAATACATATATATATATATATATATATATATATATATATATATATATATATATATATATATATATATATATATATATATATATATAATATATAATATATATGTATATATATAATATATATATATATATATATATATATATATATATATAATATACGTATATGTATATATAGACATATACACGTATATTTATAATATATATATATATATATATATATATATATATATATATATATATATTATATATATATACATATATATATAATATATATATACATATATACACGAGGGAGCGAGCGCGCGCGTGTGTGCGTGCATATATGTGTATCTGTATTTGTATATATGTGTATATATACATATATATATATATATATATGTATATATACACATATGTATATATGTGTGTGTGTGTGAAGATACATGTGTATGCAATGTGTGTGGGGGTGTAAGAAAAGAAACAGATGATGATGTTGATGGCCATATAAGCAATTATGAATACGGCAGCTGGGCCAACAAGACCTAGTGAAGGACCACTGCCAGGTTTCGAACCGCTGGCCCAGTCAGCGGCGCATCACAGCTGCTCTCCCGGTGCCCGCTGGCTCAGCTCCCTCGGCTGGCGGGAGCAATCTTCCCCAAGATCCATCGAATGTACTTGGCCACCCGCACGGCCTTGAAAGGTCCGCGCAGGCCATTGCTACAGGTGGACTGCAGGGACGTGATGCCATACAGGGTCTTCCTCCCGTTCGCCGAGCAAGCCAAGGGCCCGCCCGCGTCGCCTGGACAAGAGTTGGCGAACCCGGTGGCGTCTGACACACAGACTTCCGTGGAGGAGAACAGGGCCGAGCCGCCGAATCTCTCCTCGCACAGCGCGTCCGCCACGACGGAGACTTGCGCGTGGCGGGGCACTTGCGGTTGCTGCGGGGACAGAAGGTGTTACTCAGGGCGGGAATCGAGCTGGGAATGAAGTGTTCCTTCTTGTAAGAAGATATTCATCAATAAAAAAAAGGTGATTTGGTTAAGTCTTTGGAAGCAGTAAATAAATGCATTTAATTTCAGTTCTTATGATAGCTGTGATTAATTATCGCTACGGCAAGATTCCGGAACAATCAACGAAAGCTTCCTGGCATTTTAGAACGGCAAAATCACATACATTACTGGAACAATCTCGTGAATCTTGCCTCATCTTCCCTTACATAAACTTTTAATTTATTCCTATTCTATTAAATGGAAGTGTTCAGCCATTCCTACTTGTTCCATTTCTCCGAGACTGCCGTAGCCAGCCACTGAACAATCGTCCAGGTTCTCGTACGAATCGTCGGCGAGAGGGAGGCAGATGGGCCGCACGCGCTCCGTGAACCTGCGATAATATCTATATATATTATGTATATATATATATATATATATATATATATATATATATATATATATTATATATGTATGTATATATATATATATATACATATATATATATATATATATATATATATATATATATATATATATATATATATATATATATATATATATATATATATATATATATATATATATATATATATATATATATATATATATATATATATATATATATATATATATATATATATATATATATAATATATATATATATATATATTATATATATATTAATATATATATATATATATATATATATATATATATATATATATATATATATATATATATATTATATATATATATATATATATATATATATATGTATATATATATATATATATATATATTATATATTATATATATATATATATATATATATATATATATATATATATATATATATATATATATATATATATATATATATATATATATATATATATATATATATATATATATATATATATATATATATATATATATATATATATATATATATATATATATATATATTATATATATGTATATATGTATATATATATATATATATATATAATATATATATATATATATATATATAATATATAATATATATATATATATATATATATATATATATATTATATATTATATATATATATATATATATATATATATATATATATATATATATATATATATTATATATATATATATATATATATATATATGTATAATATATATATATATATATATATATATATATATATATATATATTATATATAATATATATATATATATATATATATTATATATATATATATATATATATATATATATATATATATATATATATATATATATATATATATATATATATATATATATATATATATATATATATATATTTACACATATGCATGTATATGTATATATCTATATTTATTATTTTCTTAGAGACACATAGTCGAGTGTATGAATCAAATTTATCAAATGGGGATTCAAGTCCAATGCCAGGCTATGAAGGGCTATATCTGTACGATGGCTTGTGATTGAATTAGACTTTCACTTATGAAACTAGGTCCTTCAATAAAAGATGAATTTCTTCCTCTTATTCTGTTTCTGTACCTTAATAATAAACACAATATCTTTTTTTCGAAATGCCCGAACACAGCAAGACCCAAAATACAGTGAAAAGATAGAACACGAGAGAACAGCAGTTACACATGAGGAAATGTTTGAAGAACTAGCAACAGGGAAGAAAAGTATATGAAATAACGACTGCAAGATAGAAAAGGAAGTTCAGTCGCAGAGGAAAACCTGCAAAGATTTTCATTCACGGAAGGGAAACATAAAAAGAATTTCTTCTACAGAAAAGGAAGCTCAGAAAGATCATTTACAGAAGATAAATCCTAGATAAAGAATTCATTTACACCAGAGGAGTCCTAGGAAGCACTTCACTTACAGAAGAGGAACCTTAGAAAGGTCCTTCACAGAAGATGAATCCTTGATAAAGAATTTCACTCACAGAAGAGGAACCCCATGAAGAGCTTCGACCTCACAAGACGTCATCGCCATTCTTACCTAAAACCTCTCCCGTTCTTCCGAAGGATCTTGATGAGGGCGATGCTGTTGTCGTATCTCCCCAGCTCCTTGTACTGCTCATGAATCCAGACTTTGTCGATGTCGAATTCCTGAGAGCGAAAGGCGACACTCGTGTAAGTGCTTTTGCTGCTGAATGATGTAGTTTACATTCGATTTGTCCATTTCATTTGTTCATTTTTGTAACGATGGTTTTCGAGATGAAAGGATAGCATAAATCGCAGAAAAGAAGAAAGAAATGAGTAGCTTCAAAAAGAAATCACAAACCAAAACGGAGGACAAAACAGAAATCAAACCCAACAGACCAGGACAGGAAGCGGAACCCACCTCCTCGAAGCTATCCTCGACAAAGTCTATATTGAAGTCGCCCACTCGGACCACGACGGAGTGCCTGCCAAACGAGTCGAAGCAGCTGGCAGAGGTGAGCACGTGGTCCTCCGTGATGATGGCGCCTCCGCATAGCGCCTTTCCGAACCTCAGCTCCTGGACAGAAGCGTGGACACATTAAAAATTAGGTAAAGTTGTATACAAGTAGGATCTAGGAAAGGGGGCTCTCTTTACTTTTGATTCGACCCCCGGTGGAGTTTCAAAATCTCTATCGACCCCCTAGTTTTTCATTAAAAAAAGATAATAAAATCAATATGAGTAGCAGTAGTAGTCGAAATACAGTGTGATGAAAAGGAAACAATACTACACATTTTTTACTTCCAGTCACAACCAGTTCAACGCAGAGGTAAGAGTAAAGTGAACTACTGGCTCTCCTTCCAAGTGAAAGAGACAGGGGGGGGGGTGCGCTCACTCGCTCAGTACGGGAGCAGACGAAAATATCCTGTACGGACAGTAGATCTGCGAGATACGATGAATTGGGGTGGCTTGGCTAAAGGTTGTGTTGGCAGAGCTTCTGAAATTTCCGATGTAATATTATTTTCCCAGTCTGGATTTAAGGAATTCATAATCTGTATAAAAAAAAATCTAACGGTGTCTGATATTTCAGAAAATTGGAGCCGTGAATGGTCCCTTCAACCCCTAGTGAATATTGTCGACATCCTGGCTATCCATCGACCCATTGGATGATCCCAACGACCCTGGGGGTTCTAGGTACCTCTAGGTACGAGCAAGTTCTTCGTTATAAGGGAAAAAATCATGGCTGATACCCTACATGATAAGATTATCCAAATGTTTTGTATGTTGAGAAAAAAACATATTTTCAGAGCAACTATTCAATGATCTTATCTGAAATTTTATAACAAAGGAAACTCATACTCTAATCCATTCGGGCTGTAGAAGAAGTAAACAGAGATGCCGATTCTACAACCCACCAAAAACGGGCGTATCAGGTATAACTGCTGGCAACTACAATCTGGCGTTGCATTACCTCTCTCGGTGCGAGCAGAGTCACCATCCACGGGTTGCTGAAGAGGGGCGCCACTATGCCCCCTCGCACCTTGGCCAGGCCCCCGATGAACCGGTCGGAGGAATCAGCAGTCAGCCCGCACTCCGAAGGCAGCGCAGAGTGTGGCTGGGTGTCAGGCCTCTGTCGGCTGCGGTGAGAATTCCCTTCAGACGAGCTTGCAGTCATAGAGGAAGGTATTTTCAACTTTTTAACCTAACGCCCTGAGTAAATTAGGGTAATGTTGAAAGAGAAAAGGGATGAAATTGTTATGATTTGTGCTCGTCAGCGATGGAACTTGAGCAACGATCGTCACAAACCGAACCGAACAGAAAAGAAAGACCCAGAGGAAAAAAATGTAACCACGTGATATGGACATAATAGATGTAAATGCGGAATGTATCCTTGCCACGGTAGAAATGGACTTCTGTACTATACAAGTGAGGAGTGAGTACAAGAAGTAGGATCAGGAACCATGGTATTACTGGAAAAGGATAAAAATAAGGGTAAGTTGGCAGAGGTCTCCATCATCTCATAGGCCTACTGACCTTAGGGGAACTAAATTTAACCTGCCAATCCAACCTACCAGCTGGATACCTTGTCACTCTCGCCCAGAACATTTCCAAAGAACCGCACCCTTTTAATTTAGTAGATTTGATTAGCAAATGCCTGGCAGTGTTTGAGGATACACATTTTGTCAAACAACAGTCTGATACCAAAGTAGGGGGAGGGGGAGGGAGAGGGAGGGGGGAGGAGGAGAATGGAGGGAGATATTATCTCTGATTCCAACGCTATACACGCTACATGAGTTCTCTTAACTGCCCA